TGGCTCCGCTGGCAGAGCCTGGCCTGCGGGGCCCAGAGATGGAGTCAGAGGTGGGGAATGAGCAGCATGAAGAACAGCTAAAGGAGAGAAACAGAGTGAACCGATGAGAGAAGGGAGCGAGGGAGGGGAGGCCAGGAGAAGGCAGCCTGCCAGCAGAGCCGGCCCCATCCCAGCCCTGGCCTTCCCCCCAGCCTTTGTGCCCGGCTTCTAGAGCAGCAGACGAACGCCTGCCTGCCTGCCAGGTCCAGCGCAGACCATGACATTCACCTGCCTCTAGAAACCGGCACTGATTTTACAGAGGACACTGTGCCGGGACGTGAGCTAGCTGACAGGCACAAGTGACAGAAAAAAAAAACAGATGCCAGCATCAGTACTGCTGCCCCAGGTTTCCTTGTTTAGAGCAGCTGTGGCTGAAACCCTGGCATGGCAGGAGGCGGCACCTGAAACGCCAGGAAGCCCCAGCAGGCCCGGCACGGCAGGAACCCAACAGGGCCGGCACAGGGGCCAGGCTTCGCCACCAGCTCTGTGCTCAGCTCTTCCCTACCAAAGGGGTTGCCACAACCTTCGTGGAGCCCTGGAGGCCCAGCCAGACCCCCAGCGCTGCTCCTAAGCCTGGAAAATCACATCCCGGGCTGGCGGGAGCAGGGGGGTGACGAGGACCCACCCGAGGATAGGAAGGAAAAGTCAAATTTAACACACTGGCATGCACAGCTGTTCCAGGAGCGCTCTGGCACTCGTGCTCTGGCAGAGGGCAGCCCCCTCCCCTCCAGCCCCGGTGCGACACAGGCAGACCCTCCCGGCAGGCCCGCACCCTTCGGGGACGAGGATGCTGAGGCACGGTGGTGGCGTGGCTCACTCACACCGAGGGGATGGGACCCTGAGTCCTGGCTCCTGTGCAGTGACCTGCGCTCCCCTGTGCAAGCTGTTAGAGTTAATGTAACTGCAACCACCCAAAACAGCAAACTCTGGTTAATGTGGCACACGAGGTGTTAACGAGGAGGGTCCGGAGTACCTGGCGCTGCAGCAGGAGCAGTAACAGGGGCTGCGGGAGGAAGGGCAGCTGGAGCTGAACGGGTGAGAACAACAGTTTATTAAGACAAGTCCTGCTGACCGAGACCGCTCGCTGTCCAGCTCCCCCGGCGCACGCCCGCCTCCAGCCAGTGCCGAGAGAGCCCGGCTATTCTGAACGCCATTCCGAACGTCACTGATCACAGGGAAGCACTCAGGGAAGAGGCTCGGTGAGAGCCAGGGAGGGCAGCACTGGTCTGACCAGTGTAACCGGCACCGCTGCCAGTCGGGAGAGCAGAACCGGCCCAGCCACACACCCGCCCCTTGGCAGCTCCAGCCCCATGCACGTCAACCCCGAACCCAGAGGCAGCACGTCCCGGCACGCCTGCCGGCAGGGATGGTGAAGGGAGCACAGCCCGGGTGGCTGCCGAGGAGAAGCCACCGACAACTGCAGAGCCCAAATCATAGTCCGGTTCGCAGACGCCACGTCACGTCAAGGGAGCAACAGATCTGCTGCTGTGCAGGGCACTGGCTCTCCTGCTGCAGCCACATCCAGCTCTGCATGGGTCGCCCACCGACCCACACCAGCGCCGGCCCTGCCTGTGCATCCGCTGCCCCTGCCCAGCCTCTCCCACGCTGCCATTAGGGCTGGGGGCTGGGTCGCAGGCTCAAGTCCTCGCCTCGCTACCGTCTGGAGTGGTAACACACGTGTGAACTCACAGCAGCCTCCTCTGTGGCCAACATCCCTTTCTCTACCCCAAGAACAGTGGCCCAGAAAATGCTTCTAACGCCCCATTTCCCCAGCCCACCCCAAAAAACAGGGTAGTGGGAGGAGACGGGCACCAGCGCGCAGCTGGGCAGCTGCTGAACGAGTGCTGGACATCGGTGCCTTGTGCCAACGGGCCAGCGCGCGCCAGGACATTTCCTGCTCCAGGAAACCTACTGGTGCCTCAAGAAGGAGCAACAACCCCTGCCAAGAGCCGAGCTGGTCCCGAGCCCTTCACAGAACAGGCTACACAGACAACAGCCTTCTCTGGAAAGCTTGTTTACCCCTGCCAGCTCTCCCTGTTCCTTTTCTGTCTCCACTGACACCTCACCAGCACCGTTTGAGGATGTTCCTGCGATAAGCACGGTATTTCCAACTCACTTCTCCACTGACTCTCGAAGAGCAGATATCATTTTTAAGAGATACTTAAACCAAGCAGGCTGCAGAGCCTCCCGCAGCCTGGCTGCGCACACCTGAAAGCCGAAGCCCTGCACTGCTGGATTAGAGACCGCTCTGCCCAATCTCACCAGCTTTCCACGGACCAGCCAACCTCCAAAGAGTAAGACGAAAATCAAAGGAAACTGCGCGACGGCTCCCACCCACAGGGCGATTGCTAACCCTGCACCAGCACCCTGAGCTCCAGCTCCTCCTGTGCCGCCGGATCTCAGAACAGCCGGCTCAGCAGAGAGGGGATAAACACAACAGCCCTTGCACACACCCTTGCCTCCACCTTCTGCCTGCAGACCTACCTGACGTCTCCCGCCAGCCCCCACAGCTGCTCCGGCCTCCTAGGCTGCCCGTGTCGCTCCCCCAGGAACCCCCCATGTTCCCCCCGAGCCGGGGGAGCAGGTACTGTAACAGCATTTGCTGCTCAGCACACACTGCCCACCAGCAGCTTCTACCGACCTACGTGTGCTCCATCAAGTTATTAGAGACTCAAGAGCAGCAGAGCTTTGGGAGAAGAAAACACGCGAGTTGTCACCCGAGAGAGAAGCCATCCCCGGGAAGCAGGGGGGACGCTGGGAAGTGGCCCCACCGCAGGAATCCCAGCTACGCCTGGAGAGAGACCAAAAGTACAGCAGCTTCCCGGGACCTGACAGCACAGCTGTCGCACCGACAGCCGCCACTCAGCCCCGCCAGGCCCAGGGGACGCTTCCTCCCGGGGAAGCTTTCTGCCAGCACCTCCCAGCCGCCGGGGAGCCCCGACTTCCCTTGTGGCCCCCAAATCCAACGCGCCCTTCAGACAGACCCCCGTTCACCGTCCTGCACCACGTGGCTCCCCCAGGCCAGGTGACAACGCCCGGTCACGTATTCCTGCGGCGCGTCCCTGCGCCTCGGGGCAGAGGCGCAGCAAACACGGGCAGAGCATTCGCCAGCTGGATCGCAGCACCCGGGATGCCTTCAAAGGAGTCAGGCAGCGCAACAGGCAGCGCAACAGGCAGCGCAACAGGCCCCTGCCCCGCAGCACGCACAGGAGCCCACGCTCACCTGCCCGGGCCTTTCTGAGCTGCCCCGAGTCCTGGCCGCCCTGAGGCCGGTGCAGCAACGCTCCCCGGCCCCGCTGTGACTTTCCAACGGAGCTGTGCATCGCCTTCCCAAATCCGACCGGTTCCAGAGTGCAAAGGGATTAACATCTGTACACGTCCCCAGCGTCCCAGTCACTGCACGGCCGTACCCCGACCCGGCTACGGCCGTTTTCCTCCCATTGCCACTGCTCCAACACTCAAATCCGTAACAGGAACACACAAACAAGGTACGGAATGCGGCTGACGCCCTCCCCAACAGTTTGGGACACAAGAGGCTACAAACCACACTTCAGTCACGTTTCCCGTAGAAATAACCGATACGATTTTGGGTGGGAAACTAGAGAATACAGGTTTCTTTTGGCAGCGAGCAGCACAGCAATACGGAGGCACAGAAGGGCACTCAAGCCACCGAGCAGACGCCCCGAGTGCCCTGGGGTAGGAGCTGGCGTCAGGCGGCCCCCGCCGCCATCGTGCCCTCGCCCCGGAGCCCCGCGGGGCAGCGGCCCCCCCTAGAACCCGCCTCAACTCCCCCGTCGGGCAGGTGAAACCTGACCGTTCCCCAGCCTTCCCCCCTAGACACGGCCGAGCGCCCAGACCGGG